AAAACAACAGTTGCTGTTGAGTCAACTGTGACTCTTAGTGACCCCCTATATGTCAGAGTAAACTGTGCTCCACAGGGATATCAATGGCTCATTTTTCAGAAGTCGATCACCAAGGCTTTCTCCCAAGGCACCTCTGATTGGACTGAATCTCCAAACTTTCGGTTAACAGCTGAGTGTGTTACCAGCCAGGGACAGTAACAAGGATAACTAATATTTAAATAGCATTTCATATGTGCCAGTCCTTATTCCAAGTACTTTACTTATATAAACTTATTTAACTTTACAATAACTCTATGATGTAGATTTGTTGCTATTCCCGTTTAACAGGTGATGAAACTGAGACACAGATAAGTTAAGTAACTTGTCCATGACTGGACAGCTAATATGTTATAGGATTAGAATTTGAAGGCAGGCAATCTGGCTTCAGGGTCCTTGCCCTTAATCACTAGGCTGTATTTCTTCTGATTTACATTTTAAAAGATCACTTTGAAGCGTAGAGGATAGACGGTGGGGCAAGAGTTTAAGAAGGGAAATAAGCCAGGAAGAGTTGACCATGACTTGGAATATGGTAGTAGAGGAGACAAGTGGTGGCCACATTTGAAATGTGCTTTGAATGTAGAGGAAATAGCAGGTTTTTCTATTTCTAAAACCCATAGGCACTATTTTCTGTAGATACGCCTCCGTAGTCATTATCATAAAGATGTTTTAGAAAGCCACATGTCTGAATGAAATGTAATCGTGATATATGAGAGAAAGAGGAATGAATGATGACTCCAATTTTTTGGCCTGAGCAATTGGGTAAAAGATGATGCTTCTTACAGAGCTGGGAAAACTGGGGGAAGAGCTCATCTGGTGAGAGTTGGAAAGAGAGTTTGATTTTGAACATGTAAAGTTGAGATATATATGAAATATCTAAGAAGAAATAACAAGGAGACAATAGAGTATATGGAGTCTGGCGTTCAGAGAAGCGATGCAGACTACGACGTTTATATTCGTGAGTCAGTATCAGAGGCATAGCTAAGGTATGGCAGGTATGGCACGTGCCCAAGGCGGGGCACCACTGAGCAGTTTCTGTTAACGCAGTGTGGCCCAACATCCTTCCTCAGGCACAGCAGACACAGTGGCATAGGGAGGGGGACACTTGCCCCCAGGGCACAAGTCCAAGGGGGTGCCAGATGAGGCATGGAATGACATTCTGAGGTGCCACAAACATGAAAGGCGCTTGACTGAGCCAGCCTAAGCCAGAAGGCGTTTCTGTTGATGGGCCATGCTATCAACATGTACTCATCTTGAAATTGGGGGGGAGGGGGCACAACTCAGAGATAGCCCCCCTGCACTGGTTACCTTCTGCAATAGACCCCCGTAGGGGCACAATTTCAGTGTTTGCCATAGCGCGATTTTCATAGATACGCCTCGGTAGTCATTATCAGAGAGATGTTTCAGAAAGCTACATGTCTGAATGAAATCCCGTAGAGAACCCCTCCAAAAACTGAGTTTTGGTACATTCTAACCTTCCTCATGAAGAGGAAGTGGATTCAACAAAAGCATTTGACGAAGAGTAGCAGACAAGACAGATAGAAAATAGGACTTCGAGTAAGACTGTGTTGAAAGATGAACTGATCAACAGTGTCTAATGCTGTCAATAGGTCCAGTAAGGTGAAGACTGAGAATTGACCATTGCATTTGGCAAAGTGGATGTCATTAGAGACTTAGACAATGGAGCATTAGGAACACAAGTCTGATTGGATTTAGTTCAAGAGACTAGGAGAAGCCTCAGGCCCTTTGTAGCTAGCTACCTAGCTATCTCAGATGATTAAACATAAGCTAATGAAAAAAGGCAGAGGATAGTAGCAGAAGAATACTGAATATTTAATGGACTACCAGAAGAACAAATAAATCGTCTTAGAAGAAGTACAACCAGAATGTTTCTTAGAAGCAAGGATGGGAGACTTTGGCTTGCTTACTCTGGGCACATCATCAGGAAATACCAATCGTTAGAAAGGGACGTCATGTTTGGTAAAGCAGAGGGTCTGCGAAGACCAGGGCAACCCTGAATGAGATGCATTGACAGAATAGCCACAACAACGGACTCAAACATAGCAGTTATCTTGAAGATGTTACAGGACCAGGAAATGTTCCGTTCTGCTTTGCACAAGGTTGTCAGGAGTCGGAGCTGACTTTAGGGCGACTAATAACAGGAACAGAAGGGAGAAGAGTAATAATGCTTTTCTAAATGTTTCAATCAATTAAGAAATATTTTATTTCACATCTCCTACACACCCAACCCTGTTAGACACTAACATCAACGGCTTTGCATCCTCATTCACTCATTAATTTAGGCAATAATTATTCACTGAATGCCTAGTACGCGGTGGATGCTCGATTTTAAGGTTTTAAAAGTTTTCCTTGATGGTTACAAGAACATTTTGACATTAAATAACATTTGAAAAATGAAAGAATGTCTACACTTCCATAATCCGAACACATTAACATTTTCCGGATTTCTTTCAATGACTGTCCATATGTCTCAATAACTTGTACAAAACCTTATTAATTATATTGTAAGCCTTTTCCTTTGCAGACATATTTTAATGTTAATTATGACTATAATTACTTTATTTTGTGACTATATAGCATCATTTAACTCATCATCATTATTCCCAACCGTTCATGCTGTATTCAAATCCCAATATACTATTTCTTAACATGCCTGTCATTTCATTAAGCTATGAGTAGCCGCTCAAAGCCCAGGAATATACCTGGTTCAACTCTGAAGGTCCAGCATCTACCTGGCACAGAGTCATCGCTTCTGGGAAGCAAGGAGACAGTATAATTGGAGGGTTAAGAGCAGGAACACTGAATGCCTTGTTTCTCATCTTGCGTACTTGACTTGTAGCCCGGTAGCATTGAGTAAATTACTTAACCTCTATCTCATCTATGAATTGGAGATAATAATAGTACTCTATTAGTTGTTGTGAGGATTAAATGCATTAATGTACGCAAAGTCCTTGTGATTGGCCCTGCTACATCGTAAACATTGTAGAAATGATTGCTAAGGGGGGAAACAATTCAGTGACTCGAATGTGTTTAGTAAATAGATCATAAGACAACGGTTTCATTTATATAGATAACTTTCCCCTTCTTTTGGGTTACTTCCTTCTCAGTTTAGTAACAATGTGCTGAGCACCTATTTGGTGCCAGGTACCCAGAGATGAATAACAATCCCTTGGAATCAATTTTCAGAAGTGGCACCAAGGAGTGAAATGCAAAAACAACAAGCACATTTCTATGGCTTGGATTCTTATTGTTATTTTACCTTGGGAAGGTACGCTCCATGAGGGCAGGGGTAGCATCTTAGCAGGCGCTCAGGGACTGGCGTCTACTGGCTCCCCTTTGCTCCCCACGCACCCAGGCCCTTTTCTTCTTTTGCATTATTTTTCTCCCTCTTCTTGATTGCTTTCTTGGGATCCAGATTTGTTGACTAAAGAAACAAATACGATTCTGTTAGGTAACGTCAGGAGTGGGAGAAAAGTCAGGGGGATGACCATGAGCGAGGCATGTTTGAAGAGGCAAGTCTACCTGGTAGACTGCCTTTGTTAGGGAGTCTCCAAAGGAAACAGGCATAGGTCATGAAGGGTCCTGAACGTCAGCAAGAAATCATGATAACTTACCTACCACAAAAAAAAAACAAAAACAAAAAAAAAAACCCAAAACAAAACCAAACCCATTGACATCCCGTGGATTCTGACTCATAGCTACCCTATCGGACAGGGTAGAACTGACCCATAGGGTTTCCCAAGGAGCGGCTGGTGGATTCGAACTGCCCACCTTTTGGTTAGCAGCCATAGGGTAGCTCTTAACCACTATGCAACCAGGGTTTCCGGATTACGTACACGGAGCAGCAAAAAGTTCTTGAAGGAGAGAGTGACTTAATGGAAGTCTTTATAAGGTTTCTCAGAATAACTATACCGGCTACCAGCCAGAATGCCAGAGGCCGGTTGAGGTTTGTTGTTGAAACCTGGAGAAATGGGAATGAATAAAACGGGAATAATTATTTGGGGATTGTTTCCGTCTATATCATTCATTCACTCACTCAGCGTACGCGTACTGAGTGTCTACTCGATGTCACGCACTGTGCTGGACACAAGGGATATACCAGTGAACAATACAGACTCAGTCCTCTTGTCAGGATCGGTTGTTCCCACGACTGACACCCCCGGCCGACCTTGAGCTCTGGACTGCTGGAATCGCGTCTCTGTCTCCTGTCGCGCTCTTTGCTTGGCACATCCAAAAACCAAACCCATCGCCATCGAATCAATTTTGACTCATAGCGACCCTACAGGACAGAGTAGAACTGCCTCATAGGGTTTCCAAGGAACGGCTGGTGGATTCGAACTGCCGATGTTTTGGTTTAGCAGCCGAGTTTTTAACCACTGCGCCGCCAGGGCTCCGCTTGGCACACAGTGTGGCCTGAATTGATTCACGGCCTTGCAGCACGACAGCTAAAGGCATAGAGACGGGAAGAAGAGGCAGGGTGGCATCGACCTCGACTGTGACCGTGATCTTGCAATGAGCAACGTTTGCGCGCGCGCGCGCGTGTGTGTGTGGATGTTCGTGTGAGTGTGTGTGTGAGCGCGTGTGCGTGTGTGTATATGGTGGGAGTTTTCTGTTCCCGGCTGCGCGCCCAGCTGCAGCGCGAACGCTCTCCTTCCCTTGCGCGCTCAAGCCAGCCGAGACCGGGCCAGCGCGCCGGAGGGCCCGGGCGCAGCCTCGCTCCTGCCCACGGTCTGCCCGGCGCGGCTCCTCCTTGCGGGGGCCGGAGCTGCGCTTGGAGCCTCCCGGCGGCCGCGACTCCCGGAAACTGGGAGCGGGGGCGGCGGCGAACCCAGGCGGCGGGCGGAGCCTGAGCCGCACGGCCGCGGCCAATCGCGCCTCGCCAGGGGAGGAGCCCCGAAAGGGGAAAAAGAAAGTGCGGCGGAGAGTAAGATGCTTATTGGGGAAGAATCACCGGATCGGGGGCTCCGGGGCTGGGTTTTGGACCGACACGCCGAGAGAAGCAGTGCCGGGCGACCCCCAGTCCTCACCGCCTTCGCTGCGCCCGCTCGGCTTCCCCAGAAAGGTGAGTCTCGCGCTGCCATGCGGACTCGGAGGACTCTGCCACACCGCAGAATTGCCGGGCAGAAGGGTTCTTAGAGATCGTCCCAACCCTCCTGTTTTACAAGAGGGGAAACTGAGGCAGAGAGCGAGGCAGCGGCCGGGATCGGTCACACAGCTAGTTTGTGCTGAGGCCAGGATTCGAACCCAGCTGTGCAGTGCCCCATCTATGCTTTGTGGCGGTTTAAGTAATGGAGTTGTGGGACGGCTGTGCCCTGTTGCCCCTCCTCCGCTCCCACCCCTTCGGGGGATCAACCCCGATCTCCCCCCGGCTTGGTTTTTTCGTAGGACTTCCTAAGCAGCGGGCATACCAGAAGTAGTGTGTCCAGCCTGCTCACTCGGCACACGTCGCTCCCAACTCAGAGCCGTGACAGCCTGGGGAGGGGCTGCCTGCAGCCTTGCTGCCTCCTCGCCTGACCTGCTTTCTCTACAGATGCCCCTGCCCAAGGGGTCAGTGCTGCGCTTGGCGGAGCCGGGGGGAGAGGCGCGCCAGCTGGTGACCTCCTATCGTGTCACTGCCCCTGAGGAAGTGCAGCTGGTGGCCCTGTAGAGGATAGAGTGCCCCTCATTTAGGAAGAGCCGACTTCCGGAGCCATAGCCCCTTCCCACTCTTGAGTCCTGGGAGCGAATAAGGAAGATGAATTAAAAGAAAATCACAACATAAGAACTAACTTCTGTTGTTTCCTTTAAGAGCCAGTCCTCAGCCTGTCTTCCCTCCACCCTCTGGTTGTGAAATTGTGAACCAGGACTCTTTGCCACGTTTCTGGTGTACTGATCCCTGGGTTAGCTACCAGCTCGCGAAGTAGTACGCACCTGTTTTGCCTCTAGCTCTGCCACTTAGCAGCTGTGTGAACTTGGCCACGTTAACCAACCTGTCAGATCCTCGATATTGTCAGCGACCAAATGGAGATGATTGCAGTCGCAGTGGTCCCTTAGAGTGATTGGGAGGGTTAAATGGGGTAATTCAAGTAACGTGTTTAGCACAATTCCTGGCCTGGCATCTGGGGAACTCTAAACTGTGGTGTTTTCTTCTTTAAAGTTTGAATGTCTCTCTTACACAAATTATTTTCAGGATGTTGACTATATGTGACTTGGATTATGGATAATGGATGCCTAACTTGAATTATAGAAATATTGTGTCTCTGTAATGCAATTTTCCTAGTAGCTTTTAGGCCAGACCACCTGTCTATGAGCTGCCCTGATCAGAGGGCAGCATTTGACAGAGAGGGTCTTGAATTTACTGGGAGGTAGAAAGAGAAAGACAGGGGAAGCTGGAAGTTCTATCATGTTACAGACTATCCTCAGCTCTCGTTTTCTGCTCTCTTAGGTCAGAAAAGCAACTCATATTTTTAGTTAGTATAGGAAGACAACAACAAAATCCTCATGTATTTCTTGGATTGTGCAGTGATGCTGTTAAATTCAGTCTCTGCAGGATACAGATTGCCTCATTTTAAACACAGACACACGCACACATGCTAGTTCTAGTCTTACTTTGATATTGGTATTTTAAAATTAAATTGCTTCCTTCATACACTCCACTCATGGTATTTGATTTTATTCTGATTGATTTCCTACAATTATTTACTGCTTACTGCAGGCACGGTTCAGAGTCCCTGAATTAAGAGAGCATCCAGCATTTATAGTTGGCTGCCTCCTTCACGGTCCATACCATTTGCGTGGCATCAGTGCCTGAGCTGGAGGGGGTGTGGTTCATCTTGAGGGAAGGGAAGAGCTTGGTGGTACCCGCCTTGTTGCATCCCACACCAAGCATTCTCTGAGGATGGGTTCACTTGCTTCAGTCTGCCTGTTTCGTGTGCATGCATGGTGATGAGCTGGCCAGGATGCGTCTGAATGTGTGCCTGAGAGACCGGGGACTTGTGGGGAAAGGGAAAATGCTCAAAATAAGGTCAGAACAAGGGGATGCAAGTCAGACTGACTGCTAATTCCTTTTGGTTCTGGTTCTTTGAAGAAAGACTACCCAATTATACCCTTCCTACTTATTCAGGTTATTTGTTATTACTAAAACAATGCATATGTATAGAACTTTAAAATTTCCAAACTGCATTCCACATAAATTATCTTCCTTGTGACTTGCAGTAGCCCTGGGAGAAGGACGTGGCTGGCATATTAATAGGAAAAGGAACCCAAGTTTTGTGGTCAAACCTACTTGGTTGGGTGGTGGAAACGGTTAACACGCCCGGCTGCTAACTGAAAGGTCGGAAGTTTGGGTCCACCCAAAGGCACCTCAGAAGAATGGCCTGGTGATCTACTTTAGAAAAATCAGCCATTAAATACCTATGGAACACATTTCTACTCTGACACACGTGGGGTCGCCATAAGTTGGAACCGACTCAAGAGCAGCTGGTTTAAGTGGAATAATGTAAAGTACATTAGTGATTAGGGCCTCATTAAATGATATCACTTCTTAGCTGTTCTCATTTTGTTGAGACGGAAACTGAGCCTGTGAGAAATGAGTTTTCCAAGGGTCACGGGGTTGGTAAGTTTCTACCCTGGCAATACAATTAGTTCTGTTATACGTAAGGTCACCATGACTTGGGGGCTCCTTAATGGCAACTAACACCACCACAAATCAAACCTTTCCCATCATACTCTGTCACCTCTCCATGGAGACGTTTAACAAATTGTTTCAGTTGTTACATTTACCTTATTTGGCTGGTGATCGCAGGCGATCCTTTCTGCCCCAAAGAGGGCATTACTGTACTAATGGAAAAATCCTTAAACATGGAACTGTCAAGTTTGGTGAGGCTGACTCTCAGGAGAGAGAGTTTATAAGGAAAGCTCTCTGGGCAGCCTCCCTACTCTCATGGACTGGCGTTTCACGTAGTACAGCTTCAATTCATAGGAGGAAGAGTACTATCAAGACGGAGAGCGCAGAATGACGTCAGGTTGCTGTTCGAGTTCTGAGTGGTTTCTTCCCTCAGCTGTCTCCATGCTAGTTCGCGGGGTGGTAAGAAGATTGAGGAGTCAGTGTCGTGAGTGACTCTAGCATTACTTATCCCTTCTGTCAGGTTCGTGGGTAAAGGGTGACGTAGAGAGCAGTATGCAAAGGCAGCGTTTGCAGAAAGACGGCTGCTTGCTAGCCCTGCCGATCACCTGCTGGAGTTTCAGTCCTCTCTGTGAAAAGTGATAGCTGCAGGCTTAGGTAGGAAGATGAACATGTCTGTTTCCGGCCAGGCAGTGGGACCGTTTATCCACTGAGACACCTCACAGGCCATCAGGTTTCTCTGCTTTGTTGCTAGCAGATGAGCTTGCAAACTCAGTTCGGAGAGAAACGTTTTGTTCCCAGCTTTTGCCATTTAGGAACCTGTGTTTGTTTGCTTTTGCAAAAGGTGGGCGGTTCGCCTTGTCATACCTGGAACAGTTAGGAAAACAGAATGGGACTGCAGGAAATCAGAGGAGGAGGCAGAAGAGGAAAAAAGTAAAGGTTATCTCCAGCATACACACAGTTTCGTTTGTTGCTCAACTTTGTCAGGCTTTGGCTGGTGACACAGATGGAGGAGCCGATGAGTCACTGTCACCGTGCCGGTGCGCTATTCAAGAGAGCCACCTACTGTGCTCTTTGCCCGTTTTGGAAATTGTTCTGTGTAGGGAAAAAAAAAACCGAAAAACTCACACACACAGGAAGGTTACGGAACATTTCGTATCTGATATTTTGGGGGGAATTCAGGTTAGCTATACTCATTTGCCCCCCCCCCATTTTTTTTCTTTTCTGAAGCTGAAGGTGCTGGCTTCGGTAGTTGACTGGACACATGGACAATGATGGGGTTGTCGGAAGTCCTCCTTCTACCCTGACTTTATGCTGACGAGCTCTGGCAGCTGTGGCAGTGTGGGCTTATCGATGATGACAAGTACCTGAGGCAGGTTATTGTATTGGGAGGAGCCTCAGTCTTCTCAGCTAGGAAATGGGGCCATGGATGCCTACTTGGAAGTTAAAGTCATCTTATTCATAGAAGGCATTTAATAAACATGAATTCCTTCCTCTGTTTTCTCTTCCTTCAATTTATTAGTCTGTAAAATTATGATAATCAAACTTTGATAGCTACCATTTACTGAACTTGGTCATGGTTTGTGCTGAGTATTTTCCTTGCAATAATCCTGTGTGTTTTTTGAGGAAACTGAGGCATAGAGTGACCAAAGTCACAAATTAAGTACCCCTGCTGAGATTCATATATACATTGCATTTTAGAATTAAGAAGGACCTTAAATGATCAACTTCTGGACTAGAACTGGGGACTCAGACCCGGACCAATGACCCACCCCATCCCCACCTTACCATTCTGGTTCTGTTTTTGACTTGCCTGTGATTGAAGAGTTTCTCTACCTTTGGGCCTAAAATATGAGCAATCTGGGCTGGATGATCTCTAAAGTTCTTCAGCTATAATATTTTTCTTTAAAATTCCTTTCAACTCTGCAATTCTATGATCATGTCTGTTTGCAGAAGTCAAGGTTACAAGGGGGAAAAGGCATTAAAGAGAAAATATTCTTGTTGTTTGATGTCCAGGAGATAGGTATATTTTCTGGTCAAAGAGTTGAGACCAAGGGAAATGAGCATTCATTGGTTCATGTCCGTCTGCCATTTCATTTAAGCATAAAAATAACTCTCAGATACATATTAGTGTCTGTCTTTTACAGACGAGAGAACTGAGACTCAGAGAGGCTTACAGACTTGCCCATGGTTATCTAATTAGTAAGGATCAGAACCTGTGTGTGCCTGAGAGCTGT